AGTGCTAGGACTTTTGAGACAAGAGACTTTCAAAAGTCAGTGAGAGAGAGTGGGCAGAAGACTCGAGACGAGGGAAATTGAGAAACATCACTCGCCTAGAGAAGATTGGCAGGTGTGAGATGAGGGTCAGCAATGGAGACGGACAGGTTCCTGACCCAGTGTCCTCCTTGGCTGGTGGGCCCATAAGGGAGGGGGGCCTAATCGAGTCACCCGAGTAGCATTTGGAGGTAAGCCCAGGACAAGCTGCCACTGCCTACTGCTCTCCAAGTAGCAAACTCGGGTGACTGAAGCCGGGGCAATGGCTCCTCTTCCCTGTGGAACCTTCCCAGGGTTAGGCACCAAATGTTAGGGTTGTCAAAGGAGGAATGCATGAAGCCAAAGTGGTGAAGGATTATGAATTTATTAGGTCATCTGGATACCAGATGAGCTGAGCCCCAAAATGGCACCAGCATCCAGAGCCAGAGAATCAGAGATTTAAAGGACTCTAGGCAGACTTTTTCTGGGCGGAGAATTCTCTGGGCAGGTCCAGATCCTAGGAAGGTCCAGAGGGGAAGGATAATGGTCTTAGCAAGTGGAATGAGGTCTAAGTGAAAGGGAATGTCCGTTGTGAAGTGGTCTAAAGGTCAGTTCTCAGGGAGGGGTATTGATTCAATTATTTGATCAGACCTAACAATTATGATCAGATCATTATGTGGAATTGTAGCGGAATCTATAATAATAAAAGCATAATATGCTAATTAGACCGGACGACCTTCTGGATAAAGCCAGGGCTGCAAGGGAAGCCCAGGTCCAGGGTGCCAGAGGGAAGCCGGTGCTGGCAGCTGGGGGAGGGAAGGCCTACTCTTGCCCGAATTTTGTGCATCAGGCCTCTAGTTTAAAATAATGATTTAGAGTTGACCTGGAGAAATCTCCATGTTAGTGTAAGTTTTTAAAAAAGAACCTTTGCGCTGGCTGGTGTGGCTCAGTTGGTTGTAGCATCATTCTGTAAGCCCAAAGGTGGCTGGTTAGATGCCCAGTGAGAGCACATACCTAGGTTGTGGGTTCAGTCCCAGATCAGGGTGCATGCAGGAGGTAGCCAATCAAAATTTCTCTCTCTCTCCCTTCTTCTCTCTAAAAAGTCAATAATATATAAATGAATAAAATGGTTATTGATAATATGTATGTGTGTGTGTGTGTATATATATATATACACATACACACACCTTCAGGGTATTATTTTGTTTTTATTTTTAAAAGAAAGCAATTATACTCTGTGAGATATACATGTGACATATATAACATATGTGATATAGATATACATATGAGATATGTTTAATTCTCTACATTTTCCCTAATGGGTTATAACAATAGGGTTGCTATAGACCGCTTATAGGCACAACTTCAAAGGGAGAATAGCACCAGCTCATTGACTGAACTCTCCATCCTAATTATAATAGCAGTATGTATGTGTGTGTGTGGAGAGAGAGCGAGAGAGAAATGTGGAAAAACACACCTGAACATTAACACTAAATACCTGTGTGAGAGAGAATTGAAAGGAGCTGGTGATCAGATTAATAATTTTTCTTTCTATGCCTCTGGATTCTTTGATTTATAAGAAAGAACATGTACCACTTTTATAATAAAAATTCAGTGTCACAAAATTTAAGTTAGGCTAGTGAAAGCAAAGCTTAAAAATGGAAAGTATTCCATCTCCTGTACCTTTAGACCTCTTTTGGCAAATTTTTTCACTCTACTCTAAGACCAGCTACTGGCTGAGTGTGTCTGAATTGTTCACATTCTTTGTGGGTTGATAATGCCCAAGTCACATGGTAAGTGCATAACCTAACAAATTGCTGGACTTTATATTTTTCATGACCCAAGCTCCTTCATTTCTTTATTCAGACTAGACTCCATACTACAGAACTAACGTTACCAGTGTCTATCTCTCAGGAGCTTAAACTCACAAACGAACTCATAGACTTTTTCTTTTTTAGGCAAAAGATTTTATCATTTAATGTTTCAGCAGGCATTTCCCCATGGATCAACCCCAGGAGAAAATGGGAACCAACAAAACATGTTACCTAGTTAGTTCTGACAGTGAGGTTGCTTTTAGGCACAGTTTCAAAGGGAGAGTAGCACAAGGCTTGTTAGTAAAACCCCCTTCCTAATTATAATAGGAGGGCACGTGTGTGTGCGTGCGTGTGCGTGTGTGTGTGTGTGTGTGTGTGTGTGTGTGTGTGTGAAATCAGAAGGGATTTTTAGGTTGCAAGTTATATATTCTGCTAGCCAACAGCCAAGCTAATTCTGGGAGAATTAGCTCCTTCTAGGAGAGCAGGAAGAATATGAAAACATGATGAAATAGAGTGAAGGAATGGCCCCCTTTCTATTTCTTAGGGAAGCTCCTTAGCTTTCAAGTAATAGGGGAGTATATCTGTAGTTCTGTGTGTGCTTTTGGCATGCTTCTTGATGTTCTGGTGGTTTTAAAATCTAGATTTAACACTAGAATTGCACTAATGTTTGATCAGTCACATTTATGCTTTAGGATTGAGTATTGAATTTCATAACATAAAACACACTAACACAAGATCCTAAAACTTAGAATCTTACCGAGGAGCCTAAAAGCCAACAGCTAAGGAAGGCTCTGAACCTTCACTGGGGAGCCTCACCCTTTAAAATTAGATGAATTGCAACTCTTCTAAAGAGTGAACCCTGCACTCTGTAAATGTGAACCCCGTATCACATAGCCTGACCCTTAAAAAAATAGAACCTGGGTTGTTCCTGAGTAGCTGTGGGGCAGTAGGCAAGGGTGTGGATCTTTTGGTGTTTTGCCCTCCTGCCAAAAGGAGTTGTTGGAGGTGATTTCTTCTCTCTCCCTCTGAAGCGCACATGAAACCTATTCATTTGAACATGCAGAAACCTTTGTTCCCTGACTTTCAGATCACTGATTACTGATGTGGAAGAGCTATAAAAAGACTGGTCACCTGGCCACTTACTTAGAGACCTGATTATTATTTATGATAGAAATAGGTAAAGAGTTGTGAAACTGACATCATTAAAGTTTCAAAGCAGGAGTGAGCAAAAAAGTAGAGGGGTAAAAATATTTTTCTTGCAGTCTATATTGAATCATTTTACCATTCCTTATTCAAATTTTAATCTGTGGAGATGAAAACAAAGAATTATTATTAATAATAACTATTTATTAAGCTCTATGGTGGGCCAGGCACCTAAAACCTCTTTGAATTATCTTACTAAATCTTCCCCACAAATCTACAATAATTATTGATAAATACTATAATTATTACTATAGTAAATATAGTAAACACTATAATAAATACTATAATTATTCATTATGCTATAGATGGTGAAAGTGAGGCTGAAAAACAGAGTGGCTTGCCCAGGTTTCCCGAGCTAGTAAGCAGCAGAGGTATTGTGGTTTATTTCTCTCTGTAAGCAGAGTCACCACACACTCGGTTTGCCTGGAACACTCCCAGTTTACTTGTGTCCTGAAGAAATTGTTACATGGACCCAACAACAAATCATATGGTCACTCTATCTCAAGGTTTCTCAAATTTGGCACTGACATTTGGGGTTGGAAAATTCTTTGTTATTGGGGGCTTTTTGGTGTATTATGGGGTGTTCAGCAGCATCCTTGGCTTCGACCCAGTAGATGCGGGAAGCAACTCTCACCCAAGTACCAAAAACCAAAAATGTCTCCAGGCGTTTTTACCTGAGGGGCAAAATTGCTCCCAGTTGAGAATCACTGCATCTACAACTTACGCTCATGAAAATTTAACTACAAAAGGAAAAGATAGTCAATTTGTTACAGAACATGTACCATGAACTGAACTACCTATTACAGTGGCTGGCGTATACACTGTATTCAATAAAAGTTCACTTTGGGGGGCATTATTTGACTTCCCAACTGTAGAGAGGTGCAAGGCTAAACAACTAATGAGCAAGATGACTGGAGGCCTCTAGTGATAATAATTGGATTGTTGCAACTCTTATTGGAGAAGACTGACATAGGGTACTGGCAAGCGACCCAGAAACCTCCTGGCTGCCCATTTGAGTAATACTGTGGCATTCGATTATTGACTCCACTGGGTGTTGTGCCTTAGTAATGAACGTAAGAGCCAAGGAGATAGCCAAGGAGTGATGTGGTAAGTTTCATACTGCAACTGTCCTCAAAAACAGCAGCTAAGGATAATCAGTCTCCTATTTCCTCCTATTCTTATACTTAGAAATGACCACCATTTCTTTCATACCACCATTTTCCATTTATTAGCAATAACAGAGGAAATACCAGTAGCACCAATTAAAAATGAATCCACATGACGTGTTTTATCCTTACAGCTGTAATAACTAGTAACTAACATGGATTGGAAAGCACTTTGCAAAGGTAAAAAGTGCTGTACAGTTACATTATAATTATCATCATTAATAAATTAGCCCGATTCTCCTAGTATTCAAAAGGCACGTAAGGTCAGATACATGGGTTTCCGTGGGGCAAAATGATCACAACCTATAATGTAGCAATGGTTCAGACGTGTTGGCAACAAGTTTTACCCCATGCAATCCTGCAGAGCTGAAGTTACACACCCTTCAAAATATGGGAGAATGAAGCTGAAAATAGAGAAAACAGATTTTTTTTTTTGAGATTTACTGCTTTTGTTTTAATAACAGACTCCTACCTCTTTTACGTTAACTTTTAAAATATAATTACTCAAACTTCTAAATTGTACATTTTAACAAAATCAACATTTCTTATTTAAGGTGACAGTAAATTTTATTATTCTCTATGAGCTGATATTCCAGACCTCATTAGAATTTCAAAGCAGTCTGCAACTTGAAAGAGGTCAGATTGGTAATTTTGTGCTTGCATACCCTCAGGGAATATCTGGAGTATTCATCCCAGAATTGTTACTAGAGAAAAACAGCTTTATCCATTCCCTTGCCAGCAGGAGTCTTGGCAAGAGACGGCTCTTGGCTGACCATAAATAAAATTCCTTGAATCACCAATATCTTGATTTAAGAAATAAATTTTACTGTGTCTTACATACACAAAAGCTGATTAACAATGGTTAAAAAAACATTAGTCCACTTTTTCACAGGCGTACAAAAGGAAATATGATGGAATTACATTCAACAATAAAGCTTAAAGTTCACTCTAGGTAATTGTTGCATTAACATTCACATACACAAGCACAGAGTAGGTATATTTCAGGAGTCTTATAATAGCATACAGCATACACATGGGAGCTTGATCTCAGGTAACAGCATAGGTGTTAGCAAGATTAGCAGTTCAGAGTGTTATAGAAAAGGTAACAAACCAAAGAGAAGGTGTAGGCTAGCGCACCAAGACAGATCACAGAATTAGAGGATTGCAAAGTCTGCTCACTGTGTGTATGAGAAAACAATATTTTTCTTCAATTTCTGGGTCTTGATATAGTTGGCTAGAGAAGGTTGTGTACTCAAAGTGCACGTAAGTGTTTTTTAGAAAAGAGAGAGAGAAAGATCCTTTTATTCAGTAATATATACATGCAAGAGGCAGCCCCAGGGTGACCTGAAAGAGTAAAGCTGTGATTGGCAGGTGGCCGGTATAATACAGATGTTCCAGGCAATTCTCTTAAAGCACTTCTGTAGCAGCAATGATCATTTAAATGGCTGTAGACTGAATTCAGTTTTGAGGCGAGTTTAGGGGAATTGTCTTCATCATAGCTCTCTTTAAAGATTTATAGTTATAGAATTTCTCTGTTTTAAATAAATCTATCGAACAACAAACAGCATAAAGTGAGGTGTTGGGGTTTTCTTTTTTTCTTTTGCTTTTGCATATGTGTTATTGGAAAAGGATCTGGCCTTTTCATAAACACCGTGTGCAAAAGAAATTTTCATAAAGTGAGCACAAGGACATGTCCAGGAAACGCATCAGATCTGCTTCTGTTGCCCTGGCTGGCCCCCTGCTACACACTGAACTGTTGACTTGTAGATACAATTCAGGTTTTAGGTATAATGACATCACAGCCAACGGACTTTAGGGACTGCTAAAGCCTTGTCCGTGAGGACAGTTTGGCTGATCGAGGGTAGCCACCACCTCTTGAGTTGTAAGATTTAGAAAGTCTGGTTCCTTTTAAATTTCACATTTCCCCTCCTGACGGGTAACTCCCCGTGTCCATTTGCCTGTTTCCCAGCCCTCCTTTCACCAACTATTTTAATCTGGCCCATCCCAGCCAATGTGGACCTCACATACCCCCGGTGGCCACGCATGCCTAGTGGCCACAGACACCCAAGCTGCTGGATCTTAAAACCTTTCAGCCTGCCCTGCAAGTGTCATCAAGACAGGATCCCCGGAGCTCAGGGCAGGGAGTCCAAGCTCTCACTGGCGGGGCTGGGAAGTCTCTCCTTTGCGGCGGAGGAGAAAGGAAACTTGGGTCTGCTTTTTAGGTTCTGAAAACAAGCCAGAGTGGAGAGAAAGAGTTAACACCAGACTTAGCGAAGCTTTTCAGACAAAACCTGTCCAATGAGATCTAGACAAACTCAGGGAACTTCCTGCAGGTTTCTGAGGTCTATCGAGAGGGGGGATAGGAGAAAGGAGGGGGAGTTGCTACACGGGAGAGAGTTGCCATTATTACAAAAACTGGCTAAGTGGCTTATTTCCATTACAGGACCTCACTGGTCACTGTTGTCGGTCGTGCTGTTCCCTTTCTCTTTTTTCTCCTGGGTCTTGTTGCCCTTCTTCTTCTTCTTCTTTTTCTTGGTCTCCTCCTTTTTGCCGAAGGTTATGAAGTCACTTTTGTCAATTTGACTGTTAGTGGGCTCCTGCCGGATGGAGATGATTGCAGGAGATCCTGGGATAATGAATTTGTCGGGCAACTCACCGGGACCAGATTGTTTGGGGTTGCCTGGTCCGTATTTAAAGGTCCAGCTGTTGCTGTTGACACCAGCACCGACTGGAGGGGACACCTCTCCTGCCTCAGGTTCTGAAAGACAAAATATCACAAGTCAGTAAGGGAGTCAGCACATGCCTTCCATGCCACATTAGTGGGTAGAATATAGGAAAAGCTACACAGACAGGCCTGGCCCCCAAGAAAAAGAAAAACAGAATACCCTGAGGTCAACTGTAAACAGGGCATTCCCTGGAGCAATCAGATACCCTGGGACATTTTTTCTTATAGTCACCTCACAAACTGAAATACCTGAACCTCACCTGATGTCAGGTACTACACTAGTGTTTCTTAGGCCAGTCTAAGGACCGCTGGAGTCTCCAAGTTCTGTCAGAATGTTTTAAATACAGGTTTCAATAATGACGGTAACTTAAAAGGCAGCTGATATGATAGATTCTGCATCATCTGATGGTGCTCCCCAATTTAAGAACTGCTAGGGGATTTCAGAAGCCTTGTCTGCAATTGTATACAAAATGCTTTGTCTTCAGCTAATGGGGGAAAGAAACCTAAAAAGAAATGCATGATGCAGTTTAGAATGTTAAAAAAAAAAAAAGCAGAATTTGTTACTTTTAGTGTATGAATTCAAGAAAACTTCAGCTACAAATTATATTTTGACACCTACTCCGTCCCCCCAAAAAAGATAAATGTAGTTGAATTAATTACACTTGAACCTTAAACAACATGGGGTTGTGAAAGGCACTGAACACCCCCCCCCACCCCCGCCCAAGTAAAAAATCTACATATAACTTTTGACTCCCAAAGAACTGAACTACTAATAGCCTATTGTTGACTGGAAGCCTTGCCACTAACATATACAGTGTATTAACACATACTTTGGATATTATATGTGTTACATAATGTATTCTTATAATTAAGCCAGAGAAAAGAAAATGTTATTAAGAAAAATATAAGGAAGAGAAACTACATTTACAATATTATACTTACTTATTGAAAAACTCCCCATATAAGTGAACCCGTGTAGTTCAAACCCGAGTTGTTCAAGAGTCAACTGTGTTTAACCCTAATTCTGTTTTAATAACCTTGCGGAGTGGTGACATGAAGCAGAGGAGGGACGGGAGTAAGTGTGGGCATCGAGGGGCACCACCCAGCATAAGAGAATGGGGTCCTGTTGTAAGCCAGGCCTGCTTGTTTGGATAAAGCACTTGCCAAGTCCAGTCGCCTCCCTCAGTGTGCTTACAGTCTGGACGGAACTTATACTTAGGCACCTACGAACCAATTTGATAACTGCAACCACCGAGGTACACGTGAAGCATTATAGGACTCAAGAGGAGAAAGTTATTAATTATACTTGAGAAAGTCAAAGGAGATGCCAGAGAAGAGATTAAATTTACACTGAGGCTTGGGGAAATAATTACACATCCACAAGGGTTTTCAAGGCAAGACTTTCCCGAGAGACTAGTTGGAAGACACACCATAAAGTATACCCATGACTTCTAGAAGAGTAGTGGTCAGCGCTAGAGAGGAAGAGTAACGGTCTGCCTGGGCAAAGTGACCTCAGCGGCCATGGCACTGGAACCTTTGACATCACAGCCACGTTCTTCTCTCTGGCACTGCTCCTTTGCTGGAGCTTTTGGTGCAGGGTAAGGATGTTGCAAATTTAGTTCAAGTACCAGCAAGCAGAGGGGGGAGGGAGTAAGAAACTTTCTTTTCTCCCCTAAACCCCTTTCCGTACGCCATGCTTTCCCTGCCAGAGCTCACTGCCACAATAGCTCTTTGGATAGAGACAGTAGATATTTTTTCTCTGAGACTACTTCCTTTGATTCATCTAATATAATCAAATCTGCACTTGATCTCAGCCGGAATCTGCCTGTTTACCTTTCGAACACAGGCCCTGACCCTGACAGACTAAGACAAAAGTGGGAAATGTATTTAGAAGCCTCTGATTTGGCATCCAGGGGAACTGGGTTTCAACACCACTCTTCAGTCCTTTATTGCTCTCACCGGAGGCCAGGATGGAAATTTCTCTCCAACCACACCCAGAACTCTGCATGCGGCCTTTAGGACTGTCATCTGGAGATGCAGAGCTCAGAGATATCTTTATCTGGCAGAAGTGAGGAACATTAATGGCCATGCCTATTGGCCGAGGGAGCCCCTCACAGCAGCACCCCTAAGAGTTAATGAGCTCTTTTACCTGTCATTGAGCTTCTCTGTGCTTTGCTGGGAGTCTTAGTTGGGTGTGACTCGGCCTAAACTCCAAGAAGCAATGAGACGACCATTCAGGTGCATCCTCCTCATCTTCAGCTTCTGCAGAGCAGAACAAGATCTGCTTTCTCGACCCCTCACAGACCGTTGTGCCTCACCTGTTCTGGCTGATGAATAAGCAAACACCTCTGATGGCTCTTTCGGGTGAAATAATAGCTTCAGGATCTGACAAACAACATTTACTGACCCTCTGACCTGAGTCCCTGTGGTCAAGAGCACTGAATCCCTTGACCAGCTTCGCCTATAGCTGTGACTTCGGGGCAGAACCTAGGAGATAACTCCCCTCTGAAGAAGATGAGAAAGACACGCCTTTTATGTCCCTAACCCGGGCCCAGCGCCAGTCCCAGCAAAAGGTCAATCAAGGGAATGTTTTTCCTTCCGTGCTGCCTCCCTTCCCCCATCCTGGGACCTCCCACAAGTCTCCTCCCCTCAGCTCCCAGGACCTAACTCACAGGCAGACAAAGACAGGACTGAAAAGCAAGCAGTCAAGACACAAATGAATGGATCGATTAGACTCGAGGATTTCAGACACACATCAAGCAGGTGTGGATCCCTCACATTCGGATAACAACCCAATAAGATTTGAAGTTTTTAATAAAATATGATCATCATGGTAAATGGTTTTGCTTCTTTTTTATTTTTCCACAACAGTTAGGAATACATTTTAAAATCAGAACCGCGTATATATATTTAAAAGCATATAGATCTACAGCTTTAAAAACTGCCCTCTGGAGGTAGCTGACCACTTCACTTAATCCTGTAATCCAGTTTAGGCACTTCCCTTAGGCACTACCCAGGGCCTTCTTAGCAACAATCCCAATTTTCCTCTTTCGCGCTAAACCAGCTCAGGCGAAGTTCATCTTCCATGACTGGGAATGATTGGGCTGGAGGCTTTGCCAATGCCAAAGCAAGGGAAGGTCCTGAAGACAGTGAATATGTGCCAGACTTGTGAACTCACCCCCAAGCCCTATTCTGATCTGCCCTGGACAATCCGCTAAGGCCAGGAGAGGTTTAGCTAATGTAAAATAACTTCCCCGAACAGAACAACACAAAGTCATTTTGGCCAGGGATCTTACTTTCAGGAAAGCTCTTAGGAGGGCTAGAGAATTATGGAGGGTATTTCATTCTCTTTTCCTCTCTTTATTTTGCTTTGCTCTTCTGAATGTGAGGGCCTGCCCTGCTCTATGACTTGATAGTATATAGTCCTGAGCAATGTACATAAATATCTCTGAGCCCGTTTCCTGATTCATAAAATGGAGATGATCACCCTCCCGTCTACATCAAGGTTATGGGTGTAGTTAACATTTATTGTGCCCTTCCTCTCTGGGTGGCACTGGGTTGAGTCGATCTGCATGCAATGTAATTTTTCGCTCCTCGCCATAGGAAGTAGCTATTGCCAATATCCATGCATGTTTTATAGGTACATCTGTTTTATATATTAAAAGACTAAGGACCGATGGTCACATGGTTATTAAATGGTGGGATCTGGCAATCTCACTCCAGTTAGGAGACCCACATCCTGAGCTGTGGGTGACGGCTCTTTGAAAACCCTGCAGCATTATACAAATGAGGCAATTACTACAATTATATCTGTTTCGTCACCATGTGGGGAACAGAGATAGAGGCCGGAGTCTCCAGGCTAGATCCGCTGAAAGGAGCGGAGGTGGGGGGAGGGGTGTGTGGAGTGACAAGCTCAGGAAACGCGCTGCTCCGTCTGCAGGTTTCAGCCCCGCCCCTTCGCTCTTCATTCATCCCTTTGTTACCATCTCGGGGATTTGGGTGCTTACGTTAATAAAGAGCTTCCAGAAAACTCATCATTTTGATTAAAGCCGGGAACTATCTTGCCAGACAGCACTCTGGAGCCTGCCTACCGCCCGCTCTGCTAGGTTAGCGCAGCCAGCAAAAGGCTATTAAAGGATTACAGCCGTTTTCGGCCCAGCAGACAGCGCCCCTGGACGCACGTTCCCGGGCGCAGATGCTCTGCCTCTGGCGACGCTGGGAAGAGGCAGGACACAGAAGGCTCTGCAGAGTCTGGGTTTGCAAGTGAACATCCTGGCTTTCTGAGCAGGGACCGCTGCCTCTACCGCTCCCGTAACCGCCCCCCGCCCCCCACGAGTCAGCCACCGCCGCCTTGAAGCAGCTCCGATTTCATTTGAGCCTTCTTTGGCTTTGAGCAACCATTTCATCTTTGTCTCCTATCTCAGTCTCTTTCTT